TAATCAGGCTATTCGCTGTTGGTTTCCTGTTTTAACAGGGCCCAACTGAAAAGGCTCCTGGCCAGGCTCCATGACTGGACCATTGGCTTACTGTTATTTACACCCAGAATAAAGGCCTGTGGACACGATGAGTAGCCCCCGCTGACCTACTAATTTATTCTGTATTAAACGCAGGCTAGGGCTAGGTTATTTTTATGTCTCCTCCTAAATACATTTAATCTAAACAGAAAAAAAAAAAAAAGCTTTTATAGGACTAAATTAAAGTTCATTTGCAGAGAGGTCTGAGAAATGACACAAAATCCCAGTCGTTCACTTCCACCACTGCCACTTAAATGAGCAGACCACACTATTAATGACCTAAGAACTACATGATCAGCATCCCTTCTTTATAAATTACTTTATCCTCCTGGCTTCCCAGCTGAAGTCATATACATGATTGAATGCACTGTTGCACTGCATCACAGCCCAAAGACTTTACAGGTCCTCCCCATAATCAGCTCAAGGAAGATTACACCTGGGATCTCGAGTCTAGGCTCAACACCCAACCGTTAGTTAACAGCTTGAAACAACTTCAGTAAAAGTACAGTGATGACTAAAGTTGATTTAAAAATAAACTACTGCCACTTAAAAAGGCATGCTGAGATACTTTGAAGAGGAGGACAAAGCATTTAGGGAGGTTGAGACAAATAAAATGGAAGTTAAGCAAATGAAAAACTTAGGCGGAGTATCAAGGGAGAACATCAACAACAAAAACCCCTATCCCATTGTGTCGAGGAAGAGCTTCACAGAGGAAGTGGCAGAAGCCAGTCGTTATTCAAAAGAGGACAAAGTATACCACAAGGAACAATCTCTGCCCTCCAGAGGGGACGGACAAAAATCACCTTAAAGAAAACCTCCCTTAGAGAAAACCCTTAGGGTTCTGTGGATTTCTTAAGCAAGATATTTTTTATGAGGACAGATAAACGAGCCAGTTCCCATCTAAGGCCCCGATCCTGTTGTAACCAAGTTCAGTAAGATTCTTCACATGTATAAACTTGAGCACATGCCTGTGCCTTTGCGAGACTGTGTTCTAAATCACCTAATTAACAAGCCGAGTTCAGTGTGGTTGCTATCACGTTATTATTTGTAAATGAAACTATCCACAGAAGAGTCCTCGGGGTTTTAATCCACAGCCTGTTAACTAAAAAAAAAAAAAAAACAAACCCAACAACAAAAAACTCCAACAAAAGCCCAACAACACACTCACACAAAAAACATTAAGTCCAACACACAAAAAAAGCTAACTAAAATTTAAAAAGCACCAACAAAAATAAATTCGTTGAAAATCATTCATAAGTAACAAAGAACTACAAGGATGCAGAAGGGAATTTCCACAGTAAAAAAACTTCTTTCCCTTGAGTAAGTTTCACAATTGAGGAACCAGCTTATTTGTTTTCCTCTGCATTTCACAGCTTGCACTCTATCACTTCTAAAGCAGCAAGACTTGGCTGTGCTATACATTTTTTTTTCTGTAAACGGGATTCTTCTAGGAGTGCAAGCAAGAAATCTGTAACAAAGTCACTCTTTGAAACTTCTTGAATGAGCCTCAAACACCAGGTCACAAATAACTACAAGCCCAACCTTTATTAAAACAAAGGCACCCTAGCCCTAACATCTTTTTTAAAGTTTCTGTCTTTGTCTCCTCACCTTTTAATTTGTGCCACGCAAACCCCAGGCCCATGGCCCCTCTCAAAAGTTCTCCCTCCCGCCTGTCACCTTTCATTGTTTCCATTGTTTCAGCCCAGGATTTGCAATCCTCAAAGCAGAGCTTACACACACACTCTCTCACACAAAGCCCTACACATGCAGACCTAGAAACTACGTCAGCGTTTTCCACACGCATTTATTTCGGGGGTGGCAAGAACAACAGTTGAAAGTGCAGGGAGTTTGGTATTTCACCAGCCAGCAGCTGCCCTCGGGGAGAGAAGTCTGAACAATGGAAGCAACAGCAGACAGGAAACCAGCTCACCACTGCTGTGCAAATAGGGAGCATAGGAATGTCCTAAAAATAACTAGGCTAAATTAATTCAGTGAAACCATAAAAAAAA